ATTACATTTTAATTAACAGAAAGTAAGTATTACACCTTAGAAAACCTACCATTTTCAGTATTCTTTTAATAACCTGCATTTTTGTTAAATTCAAGTGCGTAAGTAAAAATCTAATATTCTGCATATAATAAGTTCCCGAGAATCATTTTCCTGAAAGAATATAATTCAGATAAAGTTAGCTGGTTTTATTCTTTCTGGAAAATGGCGTTTGAAATCATAAAGAAGCCTAACCTGTTAATTGCGTACATGCTAAATTGAAAGGGTGTGAGTATAATCAGGTTCAATGTTTTATGTGTTTATAATTAAGTAAATGTTACTTAATCAACCATTTAAACCACAAATTAGCCGGTAAGTTCAAAGTTTTCTTGTTTTCATTTCTAGACTGTTACTAATCAAAAATAAAATTTAAATTATCAGCACGTAAGTTGAATCATTTTTAGGTGTTTATGCTTACATTTTGAATTATTGCTTTAATGAATTATATCGCTCAAATTAGGCAGTAAGTATAAAATTTATATTTTTAATTTCTGAACATCATAAAATCTTGTATTAAATTATTAAATACCAATTCAAATTAATAGTGAGTAAGTTTTACATTCGTTTATTTATTATATATTTACGATAGTAATGTCAGGTTTATCCTGATGCTGAAATATGAGATTTATCTGAAAAAAAAAATTTCTTTAAATTTCATATCAAACTGTCCAGATTTCAGCATCAGTATCAGCCATGACTAGTATTATTCTCTAATGATCATAAATGCATTAAATTTAGACGGTAAATACTACGTGTACATATTTATTTTTACGAGTTGAAAATTGCATAAACATTGAACAACTAATATAAAATCGATATATAAGAGATGAAAATTATGGTGAATGTGAGCAATGTAAACAACACAATACATCTCCGGCCTGGTGCAAATCTTGTGATCCGGAAAAAATAACTCAAGAATGGGCAAGTGGAAATAAACTTGTTGATGATTGCATTAAAGAATTTCAGCTTAAAACCACGATGTATGAAAGTATTATTGAATGGATTCCATTCGATAGACTGAATAATGTAAAAAAGATTGGCAAGGGAGAATTTAGCATTGTATATTCAGCAATTTGGCTGGATGGTACGCGAAAAATTGATGGAAATTGTGGGAATTACGTTAGATCGCGTGAAAAATCCTGTACAGTTGCGCTCAAATCCTTATCAGGTTCAGAAGTAAAAACTATTGATTTCTTAAATGAAGTAAGTTGCAATTATGATTGAATTAGCAAATAAAAATTTATCTAACATTCAATTGGTAAGTTTAAAGGTCGTATGAAATTTAAGTTAAAGGATAGTGGGCTTAAAATATTTGGGATAACCAGAAATACCGAAAATAAATACCTTATGGTGTTCCAATATGCAAATAGAGGAAATCTTTATAGTTTTTTAGAATCAGATTTCAGAAAACTCATATGGCAAAATAAACTACAGCGACTTGCTAGTATATCGTTTGAATTAGCAAAAATTCATAAGGAAGGATATATTCACGGGAACTTTCATTGTGGAAATATTTTGCAAGATCAAAATAGTAATGGAGGTTTACAATCTTATATCACGGATTTAGAATTATTTATGAAAAAAAATGAACACAGCTTAGAAAAAATTATTTATGGTATTATGCCCTACATTGCTCCAGAGGTTTTATTAGGACAACAGTATAATCAAACGGCTGATATTTATAGTTTGGGTATTATTATGATAGAATTTTCAAGTGGAGTAAGACCTTTTGATGGTTATCTATTTGACAAAGAGCTTGCCTTAAAAATTTGTAATGGATTGAGACCAGAACTTGCTCATGAAACACCCGATTGTTATATTGAATTGGTTAAGCAATGTACCGATTCAGATCCGAATAAGAGACCTACCGCAAATGATATTGGTTTGAAATTATATAGGTGGTTAGATATTATGTTATATTTACCCGATGATGATGAAGGACTTGATATAAGAAAGAAATTTTTGGATGCAGATAATGCAATTCAAACATTTCCGATTGTCCCACCAAAACACCCGGATTCTATGTACACCAGAAAAGCTATTAATACACAAGAAATAAAAGACTTTATAGGTAATTGTTTATATTCACAATAAAAATATATAAATTTATTATTAATTTAATGACTTTATTTAGATTCTCAGCAAATTTAATGCTATCATAGTCTTAAATTTATATTTGGCTTCGTTATAAATTCACGTTAACAAATTTAGTTTTATCGTGATCTTAAATTTTATCTATAGAAGATTGATAGGTAGACTTCAGTTGGATAATGATCTATTTTTATTTATGTTTATAGTTTAATTGAGAAATAAAGCTTATCAAAATTTAGCATATGTTATTGTTCTAAACTTTGCGAAACTCATTTCTAATCAAAGTAGATAATTGGCATCACCTGCCTAAAATATTAATCATCAATGAATGCAATATTAAAGCTTATACGAAGAACCGAAACTTTCACTATTGTAATTAAATTTAATATTTGTTCTAATAACAGGGTAAGGGCATGCAAATTTAATTTCTTGATTTTCATAACATGAAACTTTTAAGTTGACCCGGCCGTCTGGCCGGCTTTTTTTTTAAATTTTATATATAAATATTTTTACAAAAATTTTTTGAAAACTCACCCGGTTATTTATAGCTGTTTTCATAAATTCTGGAACATCTGGCAAAAAATTGACCGACCAAATATTTGCCGGTTCGATAAGTTTGTATTTCGATATAATAATGTATATATCATTATGACAGTTGTGACTTCGGAAATAATGATATAATGTATATATCACTACGACAGTTGCGTCTTCGGTAATAATTATATAATGTATATATCACTATTACTATGACGAAGGTGATAATTTGGTTCCGCGTCGATCCGGGATTGGCACGTGTTATTTCTCGATTTTCACCGATCGTGAAATGGCATGAGACCTAAGCAATGTAATAAACTACCAATGTAATTTATTAACTGTCAATAACGATAATGAAATAATCAAAAGAAATTAATAAATATAATAAAATGAGGCATTGTTACCAAAATGGCTGGGGTAACACAAGCAGAAAAGTTACCGACTAAAATGTAAGTTTAGAACAAAATATAGAAACTAAAATTTTAATTTGTTACACTACCCCCGCACTAGGGATGTTAATCGAATATTTGGGATCGAGCTCTGACCGATCCTTTCAAGACTCGGTCCTTAATTCACACGAAAACATAATACATTTATATAGGATTTAGATAAATTGATTGGTCGCACTTATTCGGAGGATCCAATTCAGGATCTAAATCATAAATAAAATGTATTGTGTTTTTTTTGTGATTTAAGGATTCGAGTCCAGGATGGTCCTAGGATCGGATTGGACTGGAGTCGCAATTTAACATCCCTACCCTGATGTTAATCAACTAATCAGCTAGAAACGTCTTATTATAAAATTGTAGCAGAGGTCTTTTTCGATTTTTAGCATCTGCCCTACTTATTTAGTGCATTTAGTAAACTCGAATAACAAAAAACCAAAAATTTATATTGCTATTATAATAAATAAAAACAAGATTTTTGTATTGTTATTGTATTTACAAAACCTGTTACTAACTACTTAATATTACTAATTTATTACTCACGTATTTATTGTATTTCTTACTATTGTGCTATTTAACACAACACTGTGTTATGGGATCGGCTCAAAAGTGAATCAGGGGTGAGTCGAGTGTAACCCAGGTTCGCATAAGGAAAACTTCTTTATATATAATTAGAAAATTTACTTTTTATTCGCAGTGCAGGAAGAAGCTCTCCATCTACCCCAGTGGCACCGATGAATTTTCACTGATCGACAATTTTTTTAAAGTCAAACGCTATATTAGGGCAGGTCTACAATTATGACAAGACTTGTTTTAAACCAAAATTTCGCAAGGAATTTTTTTTACTAATGCGCAGAATGAGTTACATAGACGAAATTTTGAGTTACGGCAGGTTTTTTTTAAAAAACGTTATATTTTGTTTTGATTTCACGTTACACCTGATCTTGTAATCTAATTGGTCAATCGCTGTCGATCAGTGAAAATCTGTCGGTGCCAGCAGAATTTCTCTTAATCACAGCCAACCACAGAAATCACCCTTAGTCACCGCAGAATATTCCAAAAAATGTGCAGAATATCACAGAATTCATAATATATCGTAAGATTTAACAAGCCGGCGTCGGGAAATTCCGTAAAGGTAGACAATAAATCAACGTAAATTACGAGCTTGTCACCGGTAAATTACGGAATTATTTGGTTTATAATCGCGTTAAATCACAGAAATTATAATATAGTACACAGAATTGTAAAAAAATTATAAATGTTACCACAAAATTAGACAAAAATTTTATCACATTAAATCACAAAATTTGTCTTAACCGCACGCAGAATTTAGTCTTAACCACCACAGAAAATCATCGTCCCTGCACTGGGGTCAGTATTGTCACGGAACAGTTGTGGACAGTAAGTTTGGACACTTTGGACAATTTGGGCAATTAAATAAATTAAAATTACTCAAAAAAAATATATAATCATATCGATCGATATATTTTTTAAACAAATTTATCAATTATTAATGCTTAGACATGTTCTGGACACTTGTGGACACTTGGACGTTGGACAGTACCAAAAAAGCCTTTGGACAGTCAAACTGTACAACACTGACTGGGGTAGTTGAAGCTCTCCTTATGCAAACTGGGTTACACTACACATTCAACGCACTAAACAAGGTAGGGCAGCCGTTCAAATTCGCAAAAGACTTATTTTTACACCATCACACTTTTTTCTTTTTGTTAAAAAAATCCTGGTCTTTGGTGAAATAATAACATATATACACTTTTTTTGCAAAATGGCTTTATGTATTGAATATGTAATTTCACGAAGTAAATATATAATTCCACGAAGCGTAATAATCTATTTATTATATTTATTTTTTATTTATAATTTATGTTTTTTTAGATTTAGCGTTAGAATTTCTTAATTTTGGTAATAAAAAGGCAGGTTATTAAAAGAATACTGAAAATGGTAGGTTTTCTAAGGTGTAATACTTACTTTCTGTTAATTAAAATGTAAT